AACAACTCGTGCGTAACACGCACTGTACAACTGCCAATTTTTCGTATTGAAAATTACAAGCGAACTTTTTGGACAGACAGCTCATCGTGTTTAACGTACGTTGAAAAAAATAAGTAATAGTAGAGCAATTTTAAGCCATGCATGAGAATCGAGGCAAAAATGCTATCGCTACGTATCATGCTTCCTCAATTTAATAGTACTAATTATTGGTGAAATTACTCAAACACGCGGTTCAGGCATGTAATAAATTAAGTTTAATCGATCGAGCATATTATCTGATCAGTTAATCATTAAATCAACACTGACAACGTAAGATTGTTTAGTACACGTGCCAGGAATACTGACAATTAACGTATCAGATGATATTTTTCATGCTAAAATAATTCGATCATCACCGTCAGCACTATGCAACCATTGCATATCGAGATCTCCAATCATCACTATGCTTTATATTTATTGCAGTGAATCACAGCTATATATGAATCAGAACTTGCACCCCCTTAATTACCAAACCTAAAATACCTTATTGATTTCAGAGTGAAATACATGGCTGGTTACTAAACATTTGGTGTGGTATCACTTAGATCCGTGAATTTGAAAATTACATGTATAGATCCGTGAACTAGGTCCAATCGCCCTTTGAGCATGGCTGACCGCCAACATGGCGCACCACGCATGCAACACTCTTGCGCTCAACCCCTCCGCATCACAGCGCGTCACATGTTCCCCCTTTAGCTACAATGACACCCAAATCCCCCAAATGCTCCCTCAATCTCATTCTTCTCTTGCACGTATAGAAAATACAATCCTAATTAGCAATTGTCATAGTTGTACGCTCTATGATGGTCTTTTCTTTGTAGGATAGGCACTTGATTAATGGTACCTTGCACGCATAGTTGATGGGTGTAAAACGTTCTTTGAATTATATATCATTGATGGGCAGGTTTCAGGGCTCGAGTTATGCCTTACGGTGGTGAACTCTATAAATTAAAATTTATGAGAGTATTAGTTGTTAGACAGCTTAATTTTGCAAGACATTAATTATATATGTGTTTGCAACTTTTCCCTTCTTTCGATTCGTCACTAAAATCGACCAACTAATCTTTATGAAGCTTTTCTAAAAAAAATTTATGGACCAATGACGTTTTGCATCGTCATCACAAGGAAATTAATCAATATAATGTCATATTTGTTGCAGTGATATGTTAGAGAGGATAGACATACAGTGATCGTACTGAGCCAGAAGTTTTTACCACTTACCTACATTACAGCAAGTAACAACACTTAAAAGGCTTTACCAATATTATATACTAGATGAAACCCCACACATTGCTACAAGAATTTTATATGACAATAATAGAAATAACACATGTAAAATAGCTTTTTAACTACATAACTTTATATACTTTATATAACTTTCATCTTTAATCGACCATTGAGGAAAAAAAGGTATAAACAAATTTGGATGATTTTGTTTATAACAATTTAAATTGTACATACAATGCTCATTCAAAAGCAAACTATGGTGATTGTGCTCAGTGAGAGAAGGAAAAGAAAAGAGATAATATAGATAATTATCCAAAGGCAAAAATAAGGTGGTATGACTCCATAAGAGAAGACAAGGAGGTAATTATTTTGTACCATAGATTAATCATCCAAGGGCTAAAACTAATTAAGTTGACGTGGCTTAATGAAATAAAAGAGAAATAGCATTAATTACACTTAGAGAATGAGCTTTATAAATATATAGGATATATTGGATTTCACCCATTATTTTGTTGATTATTTTTCTCACTGGCATTATGTATATACAAATCACTAGAAATTAAGCTTTAATTAGTAGTCTTGATGGAGAGGCAACGTCGCAGCGCTGGCCCTTTTCCCTGTCATCCTGCTGTAAATAAATAAACATATCTCTCACATCAATGAATATATAATGTACTGTCCACTACTCTACTGTACTCCCTCCATCCAAAAAAGCCAATCTCGTACTAGGATATGTCATCCAAAAAAGCCAATCTCGTACTAGGGTATGACATATCCTAGTACAACAAATCTAAACATAGAGTATGTCCAGATTTACCGTAGTAGGATGTGTCACATCTTAATACAAGATTGGTTTTTTTTGGACTGATGAAGTACCAGCTACTAATACGAAGAAGAATATTGATGAGATCCATATGTACAAAATGTAAGGTTTTTCTATATTCTATTATCATAGTCAAAAAATTCATAGAGGCCGGATATGACTTGTATGGACACTTATATAAAATATATGTGGAGATGAGGCTAAACTTACATGCAGTAGGAAATGCTCTTATAGTGAATATATTACTAAAATATATACACTTACAATGTGTAATGATATATTATTACATGTTTTCAAACCATTGTGTAATGTGAGAAAAGTAACTTTCGTTATGCCCTATGAATAACCATGGCAAACTCAAATCTAAAACGATCTCGTCAACTTGAAAAGCGAGGGTTGATGTTCATGAAAATCTCGTTGTTTCGCATGATGCAGAGATGTGCTCCATGCCATTGGAATTGTTATCTCCATCTAAAAGGGACTTATAGATTGTTATTTAAATCCTCAATTGCTTCTGGAACTGAAACATTTATTACTATTATTGGGCAAAATAATTTCAATGGTCTTATACAACGAGACATGTAAAAATGTAATGTAGAAGATTATGAAAAATGGTAACTTCTGAGAACGAAAGTGGAGATTAAATATTCAAATAGAAAGCCCGGCCAAGTAATTTAGACATGCATAAAAGGTTGTATGATAAATGGTCTCTCACTTGAAAGTGAGAGGTCTTAAGTTCAATTCGTGGCATCTATTGTTCTTCAACCATTAGATCTTTAACATATTGTTCTAGACCATTAGTTGAGATAATATGTGCTGTTCAGGGTAGCCTGCAGGCATGCCTGCTTGCCATGTGAGGAAGCCATGCTCGAGATGGTGCAGTGGTTTGTATTGGTGGAGATTTAGCAGTCAAGGGGGAGTGGAGAGGGGCGACGACTCTGCTGGTGGGCCCTGGCCCACATGTTTAGGAGTGACAAATGACAGATGATGAACCACCACGTACTAGGCTTTTAAAAGTTTTTTTTTTGGTAATGGATAATAAACCTAGCCTTTGCTTCAATTGAAGCTATAGCCACTTATTACAAAGTTATTGGCACGAAACTCAAATACACTATAAATAAACAAAGATAAATAAAAAGCTGATAAAACTACACCAACCAAGCGAAAATAAAAACTTATTCAAAGTTTAAGTCTATTGCTAATTCTCTATCCAAAGTTATCGAAAACTTGCATAACTACTGAATCTAAATTATGGCATGTAGCACATATGACTTTTATTTCCTCTTCACACATTTGAAGTTGGCCCTATATCCGAAGCCAAAAAATTGCTCTGAATAATATCTGCATAAAACATTTAGTTGGAGTCTTAACAAAAAAAACATATCATTTTACTTAGCCATGCAGCCCAATATAAAGCAGATGCTTGTACAAAATATATTTCTTGGCCTTAGAATTCATGGTTACCAGCCAATTTCCAAACATTTGAGGAAAATTATGTGGTGTTTGCAACCCAAAGGAAATAAAAACGGTTCTCCAGAGAAATTTAGCAGCATGGCATTCAAAGAATAGATATTGGATAGTCTCTTCATGCAAACAAATGCATCACTTTGTACCACCATTCCAATTCCTTTTTGCTAAATTAGCTTTGGCTAACACTACCCCTTTAAGTAAATACCACATAAATCTTTATTTGATAGGCATCTTAATTTTCACAACAATTTATTTCTCTCATGCCCATTAAAAATTAATGTTGAGTGCATTGATGGAATAGAAATGTGGGTCACTCGTTTTCTTCACTACTTGACTTATTGACTTATTATTAAGGTACTTCCTCCTAGGCATTTCTCGTCATACTCCATCTTCGTATTTTAACTTAAACAACCATTTACTTAGAAGACATTGGTTTTGAATATCTATGTTATAAAACCCAAGTCCACCCTATTCTTTTGGTTGACAGATGACATCTCATCTTGTAAGTCTATATTTTTTTTCTTAAGTTTATCCGTTGCCAAAAGAAAATTGATCTATAATAATGAATCTTTTGAAGCACTCCTCTAAGAATATCAAACAAAAAAAATCATAAACATAATTAGACTTATTAATACAAAGTTAAATAAACCAATCTTCTACCCACATACATATGTTTACCTTTCCAGCTACTTAGGCTTTTCTCAATTCTTTCCCGTAACAATTTCCAATTCTTGTTAGTCAGCTTCCTAAATGTATTGGAAAACCAAGATAATTAACCAGAAAAGATATATCCCTAACAATACCCAAACAAAATAGAATATTGTTCTTCACTATCTTAAGCTTGTCCTTAGCAGAATATTTCATTTTTCTGAAAAGAGAGCTCTTCAAAAACACAAAGTATTAGGTTCATATTCTTAGTTTTCTCAAAGTCATGATCCATAAAAAACAATGTATCATCTAGATGTTGCAGAATAGATAAACCATCATCAATCAAATGTGGCACTACTCCAGCAATTTGTTCATCCTCCTTTGAACGCTTGATTAGGATAGCTAACATGTCTATGATAATATTAAAAACTAGATGATGCCCCATGCTTTTCTACGGGATATATGTTAGATATTGGAGAAATGATAAAATGATTTGGATTGAAATATTATGAAAATGATTTGAGAATGATGATTTAGCATATGTCTGTTTAGTTTTAGAATGAAATAAATTGTAGAAATAATTACTATATGCTTGCATGTTAAGCTTTATGTGCTTGGGTTAATGTGGCATGCTTGTATGTAGGTTTTAGGAGTACTAATAAATACTATGCTTGCATGTTGTGCTTTAGGTGTTTAGTGAGCATTAGCTTTATAGAAAGAAGAAATTGAAGATAAAGGATCACCTTGCTTTAAACCTTTTTTTAAAAAAAAAAGGTTCTTTAAGTAGTAAAGATAAGGATGTAAATACTGATATTTTTGCTTTAATGCTGCAAATTACATGGCTGAACGCATTTATTATAATATGTAATAAAACGAGAGCTGGTGTACATGATCGATTCACACGATCGATAGTAACAGCTACATTATTTCGCGAAAGAGAAGAACATTACATTCATTGACTGGCTGATACAGCAATAGAATGTAGCGGGCCTGCCCCGTGCAACATGAGCGAATGCCATGCAAGTATGTGGTCGATCTTGTTTTTCTTTTCATTGACTGAAATGGATTTTGATGGTCGCCGTGAAGACGGGGCTGTCACCGGTAGCAGTACTGGCATCTATCTTGAACCCATCCGAGTCGGCATTGCATGTGTAAGCTGCGTTATTCACCTTGTCGTACAATTGCTCCCAGTCACCTTGGAAGCTGTCCACACCTCCAACAGCGCAGTAGGCCTGCCATTAACAAAGAGAAACATATATACGTTTATATATTTATTAATTAATATTCTCGTTTTCTACCGCGACAGCCGAAACCAGATAATGGATATTAAATCCGACCTCTACATCTGATACGATGTAGATGAACAGGAAGAATACTAGCATGAATCTTGGAGATAATTGGAAAATACCGAGGAAAAATCGACTGCGAAATGGCGACACAATTTTAATTAGCAATGGCGCCGAAGAATAATTTGATATGAATATACCTTGTTCCGGTAGAAAGAGCTCCATGGCGTGCTCCAGGCGACGAGCAGGTCGCGCTCGACGCCGTCGGCGTTGGTGCCGCGGTACACGACGGCGGCCTCGGATCCGGAGGAGTCGCCGGACTTGTGGACGTGGTGGAACGCCGCCCACTGGCCGTTGCCGATCTCGGTGGGGTACGGGGTGCGGCCGATGAAGCCCCACCAGTCGTGGTCGGCGACGTGGCGGAGGGTGGCGCCGGTGGCGTTGTAGACGAGGCACAGCGTCGACTCGCCGTTGCCGTACCAGTCCTTGACGCCCTGCACGTAGCTGGCCGCCTTCTTGTCCTTGCCGTCCTCGTTCACCAGGTTCATGGCCTCCCGTGCACGGTCCTCCTGCCTCTTGGCCTTCCCCACGTACCTCTCCATCTCGTCCAGCTTGTAGTTGTCCACAACATCGCCGAAGCAGTTCGCCATCTCTCGATCGATCGATCTATTAGCTTATACGGTCGATCTAGCTAATCCAGCTCGATCTATTAGCTTACATGATCCAACTCAACTCCCCCCTCTTATATAGTACTAGTAGTACTCTATCCCCAAGAGGACGATCTCTGTCTAGCTAGTGTCTATACTAGCTAGGAACTCCCACATTAACGGGAAAATCTAGGTTGATTGTTCGTGTTAAATTAGTTGTGGCGTGATAAGCAATATAGATTAAACAATAACAGGCTCACTATAATTTATGTTATCTTGTAGTATCAGCAGGTCTGTGAGATCCTATCTATGATCACGTGATTCATGTAAGCTGAGACTTACCTAACATGCATTTGATTTCTCCTTAATTCATTAACGTACGTAAGAGTTCACACAGAGAATCCAATTAGTAAACAGAAGAGATGAGCACTAACTAGCAATCCAGTACTATAAATACATTGGGATATTAAGCATAACAGATCATCGATCCTAGCTAGCTAGCTTTACAAAGTAACTAAGTATAAAGCATGAGCACATTCGGCGTGCCCATCACCGACGAGACGCTGGAGGCGATGTCGCGGTACGCCGGGAAGAGCATCAGCCAGGTGGACCGCGCGCGGGAGGCGATGCGCCTCATCCACGCCGAGGGCAAGAACCTGGACGCGCTGCAGCACGCGCTGGGGCTCAAGGCCTCCTACGGCGACGGCGTCTCCGCCATGGTGCTCGTCTACAACGCCACCGGCGCCGCGCTGGAGCTCGTCGACGGGGAGGGCGGGTCGATGGACTGGTACGGCTACGTCTACCACGAGCAGCCGCCGGCGTCGTTCCAGAACGGCCAGTGGCTGGCGTTCCTCCACGCCCACCCGACGGCGCAGTCGATCGGCTGCGAGGCGGCGCGCGTCTTCCGCGGCCGCGACGTCGACGGCCAGGTCCGGGACTTCATGGTCGCATGGTCCCTTCCTTGGAGCGCCACGCAGAACTCTGTAAGAAAACGACCAGCAAATATGACCACTCATCGTCGCAAGATGCCAACATTAATAATTGTTGATATTGTAATAAAACACTTGTAAAATCTTGTTCTAATCAAATATTAATATGTCCAAAATAACAATTACTTTTAACCTGAGGGAGTAATTAACTAACTAAATAAGGTCAACCGAGCTTAATAAAGAGGGGGTTTTATTTTATATAGACCAATAATCTAAATCTTAAAAGAGAATTGAATTAAAGCTTTTTTTTCTTGTCGCAGGCTTACACCGAGGTACGTGAGAAAGATCACTTCCCAAATTACTGGGGTTACATCAAAGAAGAGAAACTGGAAAAGGCCGGCAAAATCTGCACAGACCAAACCGACAAGAACTGTGCATCAACCGTCAGCGTTGGTGGCTGCACCTCCAGCGAATTCATCGCGGTTCTGCAGCACAAGTTTGGCCCTCTCCCAGAGGAGTGACAAGGGAAATAGAAATATAATAATAATCATCGTCTGCATGCATGGAGTCACGATAATATTGTTAACTTTCAAGAATTCTGTGTATGATCGATCAAGTATCTTTTTTTTTATTATCTCTTAATAATTCGTGCATGCGCACGCGTACGTGTGCATAGAACATCTATTTATTAAGAGACTTTGGTTTCTTAGTTATGGATGTAACAATTAGTTTCCAGCAAATAAAAGGGACATTTATCTATCAAAATTAATAATGGTGACTCCTTTCAAAAAAAAATAATGGTGATATTCATACGAGTCCATGGCCATGCCGTCATCCTCTTTCTACATGTCTACGCTACATTGTAGTCGCCACGGTTACATTGTGGTGCCCCCTCTCTATTTAAGAGAAATGCCGGGTTACAGAGTTTGACTCTGACTCCACCCCCTAACACATATTACTACTCCAAGTCCAACTGTAACCAAATAACCAAATAGGACTAGTATATTTGATACCAATTCTAACAATTTCGATCCGTATCATCAGTACAGGGACACACGCAACATGGCAAGAAATGAATCAAGAAGGTTCAACATCCTCAACATCTGTGCAGATGTACGAGGCTGGTTGGAAGCCAACTGGGGATGCACTCGGATGGACCCAAGCTCCACACCACAGCATCGGAGGCTCGGTCTGGGAAAGTGCCAGCGAGAGCTGATGGCGGGCGCCTCATGGCATACACTAGGGGAACATGAACACTTATTCCCCCAGATCAAGCGGTATGCCTCCGTCCCCCAACGAGTGGCGCTCAAGTTCCTCTCGTTGGGACTTGGGAGAAATCACAAGGAGGATGGACACCCGTGATATACAAACGGGAGAGATCCAATACAACCTCGAAGGACACATAGCACAGACGCAGGAATGGCAACTGAATGCTTATGCTCAGTTCACTAACATCAACATCATGATGTAGTGTTAATATTTTTTAACGACATTACTACAAATATAATTCCCAGCAATGGTGCAGAAATATACAGAGTTCATCCGTAAGCGCAGAGATATACTATTGTAGCATTTCACCCGAGAGTATTTCAAGGATATCGTATTTGTTTAATCCCGTGGGAAGATTATAATAGAAAGAACCGTACTAATAATTTATATATGACTTGTAATAACCAAAGTCTAGGCAGGGGTTAATATAAATCAAGGGTAGAGTGACACTAAGCAGAAGCATCTATACTCTCATTCGTAATTATCTAGGCAAGTGGGAAGAAAATAGAAAGAGCCTATTCCTATACTTCTAGTATACATACATATTATACATACATCCTATTTATATAATTACTTAGCTAATACCCTCTTTTCGATGCCCTCATGGTGCTTTGAGAAGCCATCCCCAATTGCCGAGTTTCTTACGACAATCCGTCATGACCATCCAACCGGGGCTAAATACGGAGAAGTACCCTCCTCGGGAAATTAACTTAGGACTATATACACGCTCGGAGGAATATTCGTACTGAGTTGTCACCATCAGTGGCACACCTCGCTTGCGCGACATATAACCACAAATAATGATATCCAGTAATCTAAACACCACGCTTAAATTACCAAATACTACTCTAATATCATCGTAATGACATAGTCATCGTATACACGATCATTATACCCACACTATTCCATCTCCCAGATAAGCTAGCATCATAATAAATATTACTCGGATATATAATAAAACTGATATTCATATACTCGGAAAATAGTACAATACCAAAATAGTACAAAGAAGAGTATTCTAAATAATGTACAATTCTTACAAAAGAAGGAAAAGCTACTAAAGCTATACCCGAATTCTTTTGAAGACTTCGAGGACTGAAGATTCTATTCCACTATATACTCTAGAGCCTACACTAAACTTGAAAGATAAATGAAGCTTTTTGCTTAAGGTGTGTGGAAAAATAGAGAGAGACGGCTTCTTTTATATTGCAATAAAACACTGGTAAAAACTTGTTCTAATCAAATATTATAATATGTCCAAAATAACAATTACTTCTAACCTGAGGGAGTAATTAACTAACTAAATAAGGTCAACCGAGCTTAATAAGCAGGGGGTTTTATTTTATATAGACCAATAATCTAAATCTTAAAAGAGAATTGAATTGAAGCTTTTTTTTTCTTGTCGCAGGCTTACACCGAGGTACGTGAGAAAGATCACTTCCCAAATTACTGGGGTTACATCAAAGAAGAGAAACTGGAGAAGGCCGGCAAAATCTGCACAGACCAAACCGACAAGAACTGTGCATCAACCGTCAGCGTTGGTGGCTGCACCTCCAGCGAATTCATCGCGGTTCTGCAGCACAAGTTTGGCCCTCTCCCGGAGGAGTGACAAAGGAAATACAGATATAATAATAATCATCTCGTCTGCATGCATGGAGTCACGATAATGTTGTTAACTTTCAAGAACTCTGTGTATCCCTTTTTTATTATCTCTTAATAATTCGTGCATGCACGCAAGTACGTGTGCATAGTACATCTATTTAAGAGACTTTGGTTTCTTAGTTATGGATGTAACAATTAGTTTCCAGCAAATAAAAGGGACATTTATCTATCAGAATAAATAATAGTGATATTGATACAGTATAAAAATATATGGAACTAATGCATAGCGAACTATCACGCTATTTATCATCCGTTATTTGGATCTTCTATGGCACTGTTCCATTTTCGGCTACTGATATTGCTTTCAGGGTCAATTTTATAATAAGTTACTACCACAAAACAACACATTAGTGTCCTCATCATTAGTGTGGTTCGAGAAAACCCAGAACATATGATGGTTTCAAACCCCAAAAAATAAGCTTGCACTGTGGATATGCTTTACCCGGCACTGATGAGGACACATCAGGGCTAGGTCTTATAACCATCTGACATGGATTGTTTGGCAACAATTCAGTATCGGGTATTACCACTAACCGGTACTAATGATAACGCATCAGTGTCAGGTCTTGCTAGTTGGAGCGGGATGACTACACTTTTGGCGGGAAAAGGCATCCGTGTCTGTCGGGTTTTTAGAATGCCACTCACATCAGTGTCAGGTATTCTTATGATCCAGCACGGAAGACAACCATATCAGTGCTTATGTTGAATACATGAACTTAATATTTTCATACGAACTTGGATTGTGGCCGCCTATAATAATGTCCCTAATATCGCAAGTAGCCAGCCTATGGTGCTGCCTGTGATAATTTATCTATGCAGGCGGCGACTGATAATTGATAAATCCAGTGGTGCCTTAAGCTGGCCACCGCGAAAATGCCCCGTTATAAGCACTTCTTCCTCGCGATCGAGCTGTTCATTCTGCCAGGGTTTTCCCTCTTCTAAAACAAGAAAATATATGGAGAGGTTTTGACCTCAAAATATTGGGTGGATGTTGCTATTCATGGTTAGGTACATGCTTTCTTACACTAGTTATGTAGTTTCCATCTATTTTTATGCTTTGGATGTGATGAATCTATGTATGTTACATATATATGCCATATGCCATGCAAAGGCAAAAAGTTTTTCATTTTGCTACTTGGAGGTCAATTTGGAGCACATTAGTGTAGGCTATCTTTGTTGAGCTCATTTTGCTATTGTGTGTACTCGTTCCGTGGTCGGTACATGTGATGCTTTTGTAAACAAAACTAGGTATTTTTATGCCCATGTCAAATTAGTAGATCTATTTAGGAGAGAGAAAAAGAGGGAGATTGGCTTTTTTTTTTTATTCCTTAACCCCTACTGAGCAAATTTTCTCCTTTTCATAGCTAAAAGTAGGTATCTATATATAATTAAAATTTGTAGAGATTTTGTTAGGAGAGTGAAAGAAAAGGTATGTGCATTTAATTATAGAAGTATGCATTTTTATGCGTAGTAATTAATTTGGAGTGTGTATTACGTTTATTATACGCCAAATATTTTTTATATATTTTAATGGATAATTTAAGTTATTTTTGATATATTTAGTTTCATTAATCTATAGAGATGGACTGGCAAAGCGATTTCTACAGTGCTGTTTAAGAAGCAATCGAATTTCTTTAAGAAGCAATCGAATTCAACAGATATGGAGGCTTACCATGCCATCGATGTCATGCACATTATGAATGTATGTGATGTCATGCATTTACAAAGAATATGTTTGACAGAACCATCAGCCTCTTGCTAGACATACGGAGTAAGACAAAGTATAGTCTAAAGTCAAGTACTAACCTAATGAATATGGGAAAATCATGAAAGAGTTTAACCCTAAACATGGAGATAATGGAAAAGTCTACGTCCCTCCAGCCAATTGCACCCTAGCGCTTAACGCTTGAAAGAAGAAGGCATTTTGCACGTGGCTTTCACGGTGTTGGAGCACCCATATATTTCTTATCAAACATAAGACGATTAGTCTCGATGAAAAATTTATCGATGTCCATTAATTATTCGCATGGCTATCATGTCATGCTCACCGTATTTCTCGCACCGTATTTCTCGCCATTGCTACTAGACCTTTAAACCAAACATGTAAAAGTTGCAACCACAAATATGTGTTACCTTTTTAATACAATATCATAGAAGGTCATCAACCCTTGAAGAGTTATGGCCTCTTAGTACACTCGCATGAGACTATGTGTCAGCTTGAGATGTACTTTCCTCCGTCATACTCTAGTGGTTTTATGATATTCTCTAGTTTTATGATAAATTTGATTAACATTAGGTTTTTGATATGTTGATTTAAATTTATAGTTTTATGATAGTTTGATTGGAGTTTTTTTCCTCAAATCTTGCGCCTACTCCGTAGTTTGTCCATCCTATTACTGCCATATGCTTGCGCGTGCATGTACGGCTATACGACTTGTGATGGGCTGTGAGCGTAGTTCGAGCATAAAGGATTGGATTTTTTTTTCAAGAACATCCGCTTTTTTTTTCAAAAGAGGCAGTGATTTTTATTCACACTATATATGTAGGGAGAAGAGGACTGACGACTTCGCTTCTAAGTACGTAGTGGATAAAATTGAGAAATTACATATGCTATATGTGGATAAGCGTGAGACATCAATAAGTAAACTCTGCCCATTTTAGTAAAGAGAAAATATCTTGTAAGCCCATGAAAACTCGTTCAATTACTTCCATGTTTCTGAATTTTACTCGATCCCCTCTATACCCCCGAAATTTCACCTTGACCCCTTCCATGCCCGTCCCGCTAGGTTTTCTTCATTTTTTCAGTTATGTGTTTTTGCAAATGTCTGTAACACCCTTTAGATGGAGGAGCAGCAGGTAGATAATATTTTTTTTATTCTTTTAGGTGGAAAAAACAAGAAGATAAGGGGACAAATCTGTGTGTATTCTCTTGTATGTGACTTTTCGATAGCCATGATTTCAGTACACAGAACACATGGTTGTTTCTATTTCACTCTTCTATGTGAAACCCCGCGCGTTACTGCGGGAGTTCAATATGATATCAATAAGTAAAAATAATATGTAAGATAGCTTAACAACGTAAACTTGCATAGGCACTAAAATCAATTGATGTCGATATGGCTTAATTAGATAAGAGGGTAATAGCATTAACCAAGTGAGGATAAACTTACATAGGTGCATAAGATATTATAAAAAATAATGAAGATATATATTGAAATATTATGTGAATTATATGGGATGATGATTTAATATGCTTTCAGTTTAAAAGCTCTAAAATGTAATAAATTTTAAGTTATAGATAGGGTGAATAGCCAATTTAGTCCTTCAACTTTTGCTCTGGGGTCGAATTAGTCCTTGATGTTTTATAATGTCCAAACAAGACCCTAAAGACTATTATATGGTTCAATATAGTCTTTAGACCCACTTAAAACGCCACGTGGACATGCCACGTCATTCGTGCATGTCCATTTAAACCTTCAATTTTCTATCAAATAAAGAAAAGAAAATCAAGAAGAAACGTCATAAAACAAAGGAAAATGTCAATTTTTTAGCTATCAATGCTACATATTTTTACCAATGGCCCAAACCTTTTTTTTTGTTTTTTCTCTATAGTTTTTCTTTATTTCCTATGAAAATGTAATGGTGCAAGGACATTTAAATATTAAATTTGCATGCATAGATGATGTGGCATGTACACATGGCATGTTTAGAGGGTCCAAGGACTATATTGAATTGGACAATATAAAATGTCAGGGACTAAATTGATCCTTAAGCGAAAGTTCAAGGATCATGTTGGGTATTCACCCTTATAGATAATATAGCATGTTTGCATGATATTAAATGTATTAATTGTTAGTAGATGATGATGTATTAACTTGTTAGTGGATGATGATGTGGCATATTTACATGTTAAGCTTTAGAAGTTAGTGGGTTATAACTTTGTAGTAAGATAAGATTCTATAAATCAGGTAGCAATTGCTCTAAATCATGAACTATATATTCAAGATCATGGTACAGAAGACAAGATGTAATGCCCATCCCCTAAATTAAAAGGGAAAAAACATAGAAGACAGATATAATGCCCATCCCCTAAATTAAAAGGGAAAAAAAGTAGCGTGCTGGTTGCTACCAGCCTCATCCTGCTCATAGGATGCATATGTCTTTTCAATTTCATGAGATCATGCATTCATGCTAGCTGATCATAATAGGGACTGCAAGTTCGGCAGTTGGGACTTGGGACTGTTTTCCATCGTTGGATCAAGACAATCAACGGTCCAAACAGATGCTACAGTAGTTTTAAAAGTAACTGCTACAACACATGCTACAGGAACACGCTTTGTACTGTTTTCTGTGAACAGTATTTAGGAAAGATCTGGGACACCAATTTCTGATCCAATGGTGGTTATAGGACTGCTTAAGTTGCAGTAGCTATAGCTACTGCAGGTGATCCCAATCCGATTATTTGATCACACTGAGTCACAAAAATATTCATACTGTGAGTTGCCTCCGCGCGATGCTGCATATGTATGGGCACTACTACATAATGTATTTTTCCGTGCGGAGGTCCCGCCCATCTGCACCCGGATGTCTACAAAAATCAATTTTTTCGCCTGTGGGTGGCCCATCCGCTCGGGATAATCGATTATCCCGTGCGGTCAAATTATACCATCCGCACGGAAAGAAAAAAATGAAAAAAAAATAAAATAAAAAAAATGTCGTCGTCGTCACCATGGTCGCGCAGCCGCTGCTCCCCGTTGCCACGGCTCGTGGTTGCCGTCGTCCTCGTCGCCGCTGTCGTCCTGCCACCGCTGCTCCCGTTGCCGTCGCCGTCATCGCACTGCCACTGCTCCCGTCGTCATGCGTAGGGGGCGAATTCAATCATAGGGGGGAAGAATGTAATGCCCCGAATTTCGAATTAGTATATTTTGGGAAATATTATAACAAACGCACAAAAGTTCAACTTTTAAACCGTTGTTCGAATAGGCGATCAGGAACAGCGGATACGTAGAGCTCGCCGAGTAGTGCAAAATAGACTATAAGTTTATAGAAATCGGAGTCCGAATGAAGTCCCCGGGATTGAAACGATGTGGGCTGTTGATTTCCTTTCTAGTCTGTATATAACCACGAAAAAAAACGAAAAAAAGAAAAAGAAAAAAAAGGGGGATCGCTCCTGCAGCCAACCCTAGCGGCCGCCACGCCTTCCGTCCTGCGCTCTTGCCGCTGCCGCTGTCTTTGCGCCGCCGCCATGGCCATAGCCGGAGGCCGCAGTCATCGTCATTCATCACAACCGATGTTTCTTTTCCGTTTTCCTTCTTCCCGATGAGTTCCTGCTGCTGCTCCTTCTGTCGTTGCCGATCTGCTGTTGCTGCTGCTTGTGCTGCTGCGGCTGCTGCCGATCTGCTGTTGCTGCTGCTCCCTTGCTGCTGCTGCTAACCTTTTTCCTTGCTGCTGCTGCTGCTCCTCCTCCTCACGCGTGGCCCTGCTGCTGTTGTGTCAAGCAGCCTGAAGACCCAGATGCTACTGGCGATGGTGAGCTTATAACTGAAGCAGAAGAGCAGATGGAGCAGATGGCTGAGAAGCTGCCCGTGCCGGACGATGAACAAGGCGCAGCTGTGACCAGGCGTACAACAAGGCCCACTAAACTGAACAATAAGTACTTTGGGCCATATTGGGCCATGTAAATGACTAAGTCTAGTTGAGATAGCTGGCAACAGCTGGCAGTAGCGTAATCAAGACGAATGGTTGGTGAATTGTATGTAAGGAGAATACTCTGTGATGAAGAACTCAGGCTTGGCAACTCGGCGGTGATGGCGGCGGCGGCTCAGCCCTGTTGGGTTGAGAAGTAATACCAATAGTTGCCTGAATCTATTGTGAGTGTGTGAGTGTGAGAAGTGTTCATCCAATTCGAGCTGTTAACATGTTGCTGCTGCATGATCAGAGAGAAGGGTACAGAGAGATTGTATAGGAGGAAGAAGGAAAGGAAAAGGCAAAGCAACGTTGAGGAATTTCATCGTTTTCGCAAATTAGGGAATTTGTCGCAAGGTAGTGTTGCTCCCCTGCAATAGGCAGCTTCTCTTTAGTCCCTAGGAGTGTAAGATTCAAATAGAAATTAATTTGATAGCTACTCGTGCCACAATTTTTGAGGTGCTTGAATATAGGTTGAAACCGTATTTTCAATTCTGGTGTTAAACCATCCGGATTCAGATTAGTTGTCCTACATAAAATTTGTAGTCATTGTCGATATCTTTCTAACACCGCAGGTTTCGCTTGATTCCGATAAGCGGTTTAGGAGAAACAACAGAAACAGTACTGCTGACTGGGTCCGGAAACCAGGACAACAATTTGTTTTCCTTAATCTGGGATTTCCAGAGCCATAATCTGATTTTTCGCCCAACATGAAAGTTGTAGACAATTTTATCTAGATGTCCAAAATTGTATTATTTGCTAGATTCTGTTAGACGGTTTGCGAGTTAAAAAAAACAGTAAGGAAACTGCTATAGGTTATTCAATACAAATCGGTTAAAAGTTTATATGTTCTAGGTTATTGATTTTAGTAGATATCCCTTGTAACTATCATAAGTTGGATATAGTGGTTTATGCGTAGTTTTGCTCTACATGTGTGGAGGGTTCCAACGTTGGAGGAGTTGAGTCAGAGTATCGAAGGAGTTAAGGCAAGTACAAGACGGATTTATGTGATGGACGAACTGAGTTGTTTTGTTTGGTTTTACTTGCATAATTATTATTTAATTGCTTGATATTATTGATCGTATGGCTCTGATGTTGTGCTACTTAATCATGTTTCAATCCATATTTGAATTTATGATGTTATTCATGTTTTATTATTCCGGATGTTTTTGTTTACATTATTCAAGAACCATGCGTAGCCATGGGAGTGCAATTTGGGTCTTTATTCATGATCCTTGAGAAACGCTAATCACGCTTGTTCGGCTTACCGGTAATGCTAAGAGGATATTTGTACCTGCCCGGGAGGGAACTACTATCTTTTGACTTCTTTGTTTTAGAATAAAGTAAATCCAACCTTTCATATTGGTTTCTTATTGCATTAAACCTGTGTATGTTTTACTAGTTCAATATTGTAGTTGCTGAGTATTCTTTACTCACTCCTGTGTTTAATTTGGTTTTTAGGTATCTAATGACATTGATCAGCATGGGATGGGAGTAGCACTCTTGAACTACGCATTATTATTGCACACTATTGATATTTAGTTTTAGACTATGTTTCTGCTTAGCGTAAGTTTTGCGTAGAACTTGTAAATGTCATTTAAAGTTCTGGTCCTTATTTTCATGTGGAATTTGTGGAGCTAGGATGGGTTGGATTATGTGGTTTATATCGTTATTAAGTTATCTTATAACTGCCTGTCGTGGATGCTCGTATTTTTAGGGGAGACTCTACCGAAATTTCTAATAATTTTGGGAGTTAGTGGTTTTTGAGTGTATTTTGGTGTGGCACTCTAGGTAGGTGGCTACCTGGAGTGTTACACCGTCGTCCTCGTCGCCGCTGTCGTCTCGCCACCGCTGCTCCCGTTGTCGTCGCTGTCATTGCACTGCCACCGCTCCCGTCATCGTCGCCGCGCAGCCGCTCGTGGTCACCGTCATCCTTGTCGTCACCATCGTTGCGCCGCCGCTGCTCCCGTCGTCATCGCCGTCGTTGTGCAGCCGATCGTGGTTGCCGTCGTCCTCGTCGTCACCATTGTTTCCATTTATGATGGATAAAAGATCAAAAAAGAATTGATGGATGAAAATTGTATTACTTAGAGATGTGGTTCAAAAACTATTTATTGGTTTTTACGAATATATTATAACAAACATTTAAATTGTTGGGAGAATTGTGTCGTGCCAAAATCTATATAATCTATAATCTATAGTGGCAGAGCCACCTCTAAGACAGGTTGCCACTATCCATAGAAGTCGACATCTATAAAAAAAACTAATCGATAATCGAAAACACTATTAGTTGTTCAGGCTTGACGACGCCACTAGCTCCACCACTAATACTCCGTAAATCGAATCGACTATATTCTATGAAATGATTTTTTTTAAAAAAAAATATCTCATTTGGTCAATGGCGTTTTATCACTGTTCTTTTATTTCTTTAAAGAAATTGTTCGCATTAAACAAACTTGTTTTTTTTTTTCTTCACACGGACTTACCCATCACCCGTTCGTCCGCCGGAAAATTCCCCTCGTCTCTTCCATGTTCCATCACCGCCAGGCGCTAGCTTTTCACCTGCAAGATCTCGAGGTAGAGTGGTAGACCACAGCCCGCCGGATTCTTGCGAGCAGCTTCCCATCGCCCTGCCTTGATCTGTGCTGGCCTGCGTCCCATCCCCGTGCTGCCGCGCGCGATCCCTCCTGGCCTGGGGCTGGATTTGTGGATACTTTGTACAGGTGTTGAGGTGGATTCTTCTCCACTAATTATTTTTTGGTTTCTCCTTGTCTAATTACTTCTTTTTACAGTTTCCTTTCTTCCCTCTGCTCTTGTAGGGTTGCAGTTGCAGATTTGATTATTTCCAGATCGAGGACGGATGGTTGCGGCCAATGCCACCGTCATGGATAGGGTTCCTTCTGTGTGGGATCGGCCATTTTGCATCAAGGTATGCTGATCCTCTCCTGATTAATTGTTCATCCACTATATGGGCTTGTTTGGTTCACAGCCCAAATTAACCATACCAAAAGAAATTGTCAATGCAATGCAATGGTCATGTATCTGTTTTGGTACCAATATTTTGGCAAGGACAAACAATACAAATTTTTGCCACAAACCAAACGCCCGTGCATTGCCAAAAGAAATGGCCAGGTTCAAAATGGCATATAGTTATTGATCTCAGATGGCACCTAATAGTCACATAGAGAGTGCTCGCTGATTTACATTTTCAGCTTTAGTAACCATATAATGTTTCAAATCATGGAAAAGGTAGAGGACAATGAGAAGATTGCTAGAGGTAGAAAGTGTCTGACCTTGATGGAGCCTGCAGATAGCAGTTGCAGAACTAGATAAGTAGGGTTACCCTGACTCTTCCGTTGAATTTATATAGTACTTTTATTACTAGTATTTTCCAACCATTTCTCAGCTAGATACATACATCACTCAATTTTTCCATTGGGACAAAACTTTTGTAACAAATATGATAGATATGCATCTCTCCCAAAAGGAAGCACATGCATGTAGTAATCAAATGCAATATCATTATAACTGTATAGGTACATTAGTGTGAATGATACTCTGGGAAAATGAGATAAGGATACTTTCTTGGGATGTTATTTAATAAATATGGTAGACCGCATTCCTTGAGTAGTAGATGTCCACGTTTAAGGCCTGTTAAGAATTGGAAAAAATTCAATCCTTTCATTGTGAATTTCAGAGTAATTATAAACCGGCTCTTAGGGACTTAGCATGGCAGCCCAACAGATGAAATGAACTCTTGCTCCAAGCTATAGCATTTGAGGCTATTTCGAGACTCAGAATTAGCACTGTTACCCAAGTTAACAGCCACTTGCTCGCAACTAGCTTCAGACCTTCTCGGTAGCAACTGTTGCAGCTCTTCATCGTTTTCTGGAGTAGCATGGCATGAGTTCAACTTTTTTGTTCGCAAGAACTGTAAAGTCATTTCAACTTGCTTCATTGTAGGCCTATCTTCACTTCGGAGCATCAAGCACTTCTCTGCAAGAGAAGCGACACTGTTTATCTCATCCTCAGTAGCTTCCTCATGAACGTAGGCTGCAACTATCTCTTTGATTGGCTTTACCTTCAGCTCCCAAAGGAAGTAATTGGACAAGTTCTGCTTTGATCCTGATACTGTTGTAAAAATAGGTTCTCTTCTGATTAGTAGTTCCACAAGTACCACACCAAAACTATATACATCACTCTTCTCATTCAGCTGCCCAGTATGGTAATACTCTGGATCTAAGTAGCCAAATGTACCCTGTACATTTGTAACTACGTGAGTCTGGTCAATTGGAACCAATCTTGAAGCACCAAAGTCTGATACTTTAGCTGTGTAGTTCACATCTAGGAGTATATTAGAGGACTTGACATCACGATGGAAGACTGATACTGAAGCTGCCGAATGGAGATAACAGAGGGCTCCTGCAGCTTCCACTGCAATTCTTAGACAGTCATCCCATGACAAAGAGAAATCACTGCTTGAGCCAGAATGCAGAACACCAAATAATGACCCATTGGGAATAAAGTCATATACCAACAGCGGGACCTCGGTTTCTAGACAACATCCAAATAATTTTACTATATTTCGGTGATTTATTTGAGAGAGAATAGCAACCTCATTGATAAATTGGCTGATCTCACCTTCTTCAATGTGTTTAGACCTTTTTATTGCAACTACGCGTTGATCAGATAAAATACCTTTGTACACCATACCATGCCCTCCACGACCAAGGATACGTGTAGAATCAAAGTTGTTTGTTGCTTTCTCTAGCTCCTCTAAAGAGAAAATCTTTGTCTTGTCAGTTGCATTTTGATCCGACAATATTAGTTGTTCTAGGAGAAGACCTTGGTTCTTTTGGAAATGCTTCCGACGTAGTTGCTTTTGGATGTCCCTTTTCCATCTACGGCAGATAAATGTTGCACTTAAGCTGACAAGTAGAATGCCAAAACCAACACTAAGCCCAATAATGATACCTGTAATATGCAGTATGCCCCTTAATTGGCCATGAATTATCTGATTCATATTCATTGTGAAATTAACATGTGCATAGAACTCACCTAGCAGAATATTTTGCTTTCTTATTGAAGTGCACTTCATTTCTATAGTATCATACTGTGTTTTATAAGGACAATCAGTGCAATAGTAGTTTCCTATGGTATTATGGCATACTCCTTTACAGATGCCCGGGGTGTTGCACTCATCAATATCTGCAACCACAACTCAGTAAGATGAGACAGACATTCGTAACAGGATACAGCTGCTTTGGAGACATATTTCTTACTAGGCTCTCCTAGAAGACCTCACCTTAATTTTAGGAGGTGAAAAACATAGAGATTCTCACTTTAATCTAAAAAGAAAAAGATCTTTATAATAGGTTGAATCCAAGTATACACATTGTTTGCTTGCGTTTGGAATCCTGACAGCAAAGAACATTGTTTGCTTGCGTTTGGACTCCAGTAGGATTAGAAACAATTAGTATTTATTAAATGAATACATGCAACAATGGAAACAGATTATGTAGACCAAAATGGTGTTTTACTGGAAGCCCAGCTCATGCCCCTAAAATCGCTCCAGTTTTTTTTTTTCAAAAAATAACGGAAAAATAGCTACAGCTTTTAAGCCCCGTAGGTGAAGGCATTTTACTTAACATGATTAAGGTATGTGCATGTTCCTTAAAGTTGGAAATACTGATAGAAATAAAACTTCAAAATTCAAGTATATCATGTAGGTGATATTTAGTACTACTAGTAATGGAGGAGCATGGGTTGATGACTAGTAAAAACAATCCTAGATTACCTCAAGAGAGTAATGAGTTCCCTAATTGGAGCGCAGGGGAAAAATCATACTTTTTTTAGTTCAACCGAACTTTTGATAAAATGATGGACAGAATGTAGTTTTGTTTGTTTGTTGCTGGAAAATATGGACAAAAAAAAATATGTTCTGCTTTTAGGTGGGAACAGAATCTTAGAGGCAGATAATTGTATAAAATGAACATCTAGGCAATGCTATGAACTAAAATTTGTAAAATGCAGAGGGATGTGTGCTACAAGATTTCATAGTATTCATGGGCTCGTAAGAATCGGAATTTCTCTCGGTATTTTTCTACAACGATTATGCATGCGAATTAAAATGCTGATATATTTTTCTAGAAAATAGCTCTGTTTCCAGAATAAGATTTTAATGTATAAGTTATTAGAAAACATATTAATTTTAAGCAAGAATATAGCCAAGCTAGGAACCTCTATGGCTTTGGCCTCACTTAGATGCTCCTCTTGCTTCGAAGTACTTGTCAGTACTTTGTAACATACATCCAAATAGTATACCAAAAACTGTTATAATCATGATCCAGCATAAAAGCATGAAATTCGTGATTTTTTTTTCTGTACCAGTACCACTATTGAAGTCACATTAAATTTTTTTAAATAATTATATCCATTCTTAGTGTTATAAGCATTCAAATGTTTGTTATAGTGAGTTAAATGTAAATAATGGAGTTTGTGTGAGAGAGAGTACCTTGACAGCCATTTTGCACATATGGATTTCCTTGAAAGCCAGGCAAACATTTGCATCTATAACCAATGTAACCATCTGTAGAGTTTACCCCCAAGCATGTGCTATTGATGCTAACACATGCATATCCGGAGTAGTTCTGCTTTGCTTCTTGGCACGTTAGATTGGCAACAGCCCATCGCACAGACGATGATTCGCCAGATCCAATATAGAGATCTGGTTGCTTAGGTACATAGACTTTAAATTCCTCCTGCTCATAATTAGATGTATATCTAATGCCCACAAGACCCTCACTGATATTTATGTATGTCACCTGATGCTCATCATCAAATTGGAGGCTAGAGGATGTTGCACTTGTGCAGTTAAGCTGAAATAGCTTCCTTGCAAAGCATCCTTCTTCTAACCCAAAAGGAAATGGAACACTGATGTTCCCACACGATCGGGAGCAGTTTGCCTTCTGCTGAGCTGGAATATATCCTACTTTATATGATAAGATGTTTGTAAGTAAGTTTACTCGAATAGATAAATTCCTAGTTCTTTCACTTAATTAAAATATGGTTATTGTTGATATGACAAAGTTATGCATATATATCTGAGTACAGATTTTCCAAGCATGAGTGTTGCTATACTTAAGATTTGGATTTCACTCCTGTGCAGTGAGTACTTCACCAATCATGTTGTACTACATGATTGGTGAAGTACAAATCATATATGTACATCATGTTGTACTACATATATGTACAAATTAGAAAAAAGATAGTACAAGTTATTTATATTTTTTATGTATAGCATATATGTACTAATTTTGCACAAGTTTTTTGTTAGTACATGTTTTAACTTGCTCTAAATATATAAATGCTGTCAGCAGTGTTGTGTACTGGAGGACATTTCGAAATAGGTATAGCTACATCCATGTTTAACTGAAACTTTTCGTTTAGTTTTAAAGAATAGAAGTTTATTCATGCATATAGTTTTTTTTTCTCACACAGCTGCATATATATAGTTTCCATAGCGGGGTGAATTACCGTTATCACGCTGGCAACCATTGGGTATGTATGGGTTTCCCCAATATCCACTATCACATCCACAGAGGTAACCAAGATCAGGTAATCCATAGCTCTCACAGCACTTGCTTTTGCTGCTGGCGCAGGCATAGTTGGTCCTATTATCCCTTGTGCTGGCGCATGTTGGTTGATCGACGATACTCCACGACAGGCTAGCATAGATAGTTGTTATGTTGATTCTGTCCCATAAAGAGCTTCTGTTTGTTTGTGCCTCGAGCCCACCTTTGCTGTGTTGGACAAATTTGAACTGGAATGCACTGAGAGTAGCCTCAAATAACTCGATGGTACAGCACCCTGTACCATTGCAGTTCTGCCTGGCCACCTTTTCCGTGATTTCTTCGTTGGGGCAAGTAACTGTACAGAGCCTCACAGCGCTATTTCTGTCTTGATCAAGCAGGTATATATCAAAGTCACAGCCAGTAATGTTTAGCAAGGCATTATCAAGAGTAAAAGATCTCCCTGGGGCTTTCCAGGACATGTTATAATCTTTGGTACCTGGACTTACTGGGATTGCATGGGAAAAATCAACGGTGACATACATAAATAGGTAGTTTGAGGTGCTACCGTATACAATAGCATCAATATCTTCGATAACCTCTGTCCCACCCTGCAGGAAGAGCCTAGGTGGTTGTGCGGTGTTGTCACAGGTGAGATTGAAGTCTGGGTTCCTGAAGCAGCCAGAACCAATGCCGAATGGGTAGTCGAAGCTCAGGTTGCCGCAGCTCCGTGGGCAGCCTTCCAGAGTGGCCGCAGAAGGAAGAATGGTGCTGTTGATACCTTGATTTCCTGGCACGCTGGATGATCTCACAGTTGGATTCACTGCAGAAAACAAGACGAATAGGAGCAGAGGAACCACTGAACTGAAGGGGCTCATGTCGATCATCTTTATAGTGCTTAGCATTGTTGCCCTAGAGAAGTTTCAGAGCTTGAGCTGTGAAAATATGTGGGAGAACCGGAGAAGCATTGCAAATGAGTACAATGGGTTTTCATCCATATCTAGGTCATGGTCTTGCTGCTTTATAAGCATCTGGAGTCTGGACAGGGCCACAGGGGCCACTGGGAAATGTAAAAGTCAGTGATTGTCAATACTGCAAGAAAATTGTCAAGGTTTACTGCAAGACTACTTACAGCGATGAGGGTTGGTATCAGGTATGTCACTTCAATCAGTTCCACTATTAATTTTACATGTGAACCAAAACTTTGCTCTCTCTTTCCACCTGGCTTCCATTCTTTCAATCACCATCGTTGACTGACTGGGCAATATATGGCTCTATATTGGAAGCATCTTCTCACCTTTATTCAACATTAAAGTAGCCAATTGCAGCTAGTAATTGATTCCTGGAGTCCTGGTCAGTCAACATTCTAGCTTTCTAAGCCATTCAAAATGTCCAAAGCAAACTCATGAATGTGGCGAGCACATTTTCCACCATGCCGTTGATGCTGACAGCATTGGGAACTGAGTGCCAACCAGCGTAAGTTTCTAACCCATGGAGCGGGGAGTCGAACAGTTTGATCGTGGGAGTCTGGATCTGGCTTAGTGTTCAAGTACATGATTTTGACAGGTAGAGCAAACACTCGACACATGTTTACATTTGAAGAATTAGTTTAGATTGCTGAAATATGTTGGAGAATATTCTTTTAGCAATTTTTACAGAGTCATTAATAGAACAATAACCTTAGCAATTTTGCTTGTGTTGTCTATTGCTCGCTATTTCTGAGCCTGGATGGAACACTAATGGTGAATATCGATGCAAGGTTTTTATCCGGTTCACGTCATACTGCAGGATATAGTGACTGAAGTGTGAAACTGTCTTTCCTGGAGATTACCCCTGCATTGCTCATCCAGTGGAGGAAACAGAGTTCACTGCTTGTTACTTGTGAAGGCATGTCTCTAGCAGTTAAAACTGGCCAGTTTCAAGACCAAGTAAGTGATGATCATGGAACCTGATATTTCAATCTTGTGTGCAGTCGATGAAGGCAGTTGATGGTAGCAGTTCACCAAGGTCAGGCAGAGTGACTGACCCAGCGGCTATTCAGCAATCCGTGCTAATTAAGTGATTGTAATAAAGCTCTCCATTTCCTGGAAAAGAAGTTACGAAAGAAAGGTGCAACTGAAATTGGTTAAGGTTCTTCGAATCCGGTGGAACACCTGCCTACTTCAACCACTGGTTTAGAACCTATGCTAACGAACTACATTCTGCTGATTTGATTATGTTCTAAGCTTTTCGTCGAGATGGCATCAATTACTTTGCATCCATTCAACGCAAGAGTATGTACAAATATACTGTCTTGATGTCCGTTGCTGTTTTGATGTGCCTAAATTAACCGACTTACTCCCTCCGTTTTATATTATTAATCTTCATATTGTAAGTCTGTTTCATATCATAATTCAATTTTGATTTTTCTTAAACTTAAGTTTAATCAAATTTATAAAAAAATAAGTACTATTTTGGACAAAACAAACATATTATTAAAATATATTATATTATTAAAATATATTAAATGTTAGTTTAATAAAACTAATTTGGTGTTTAATATTGCTAAGTTTTTCTATAAATTTAGACAAACTTTAAGAAATTCAACTAGGAAAAAATTTAAAGCGACTTTTAGTACAAAATATAGGGAGTAATTATTTAAGCTAAAATTCTCCCTACTTTTGTTAACCAAGATATGTAATAATAATAAGGCAAAATTTGCTACAGGACACCTAAAATTTGTGTAATTTGCTGATAGACATCGTGAAAACGTGTTACGGCTGAAAGACACTCTAAAAAAATGGTAATTTGCTGGAGGACACTTTCGGCTCAATCGGAGAGAGAAATTTTTCAAAAAGACAAGAATGACCCTAGGGTCAAAAGCTTTTTGAGCCGAGACTAAAGTGAAAATAAAATAATGGTGTATGCTAGTGATGTACTTTGGGCTATGGTAAATTTAGAGTTACATAATTTCCAAATTTTTACTCTAACACCATGTTTGAAGCATGTGGCTAGAGGGGCATTCTCGTCTTTTTTAGGAATCCATCTCTTCAATTGAGCCGAAAGTGTCCTCTAGCAAATTACTAGTTTTTTAGAATATCTTTCAGCCATGACACGTTTTTTCGATGTCTATCAGCAAATTATACAAATTTTGGGTGTCCTGTAGCAAAATTTACCTAATAATAACCATTGCAGCAAGGCTGAAGCATATAGGTTGGAGAATGCTCCGGATCAGTACCGATCCATCAAACACTAAAAAAAAAAAACTAATTACCCTACTGCTTTCCCTACTCTATCTATCTATACATGAATGTCTCAATCTTGAAAATATTTTTTTTCTAAAATACTTATCTGATCTATGATCCAATCACACCATTGTATTCGTTATAATTAAATTCTTACAACAAGATATCATACTATTATATTTTGATAAAAGAAAAAAATGTGTTTCAAATCGCTAAAAGTCTATGTTTTGTATTTGATAGTGATATGTTTCAATGTGTATATTCAGCGTGTTCCACAAAATTCACCGGAAATACCTGCCATAACTCTGTATCATGTCTCCAATTCATCAATGCTTTCATGCATGCATTTTAGCAATCTTTAAAAAGTTTTTTCTCCTAAACTACTTATCCATTATACGATCCCATCATACTGTTGTATTTGTTATAATTAAATCTTTACAACAAGATATCACATGATTATATTTTGATAAAATAGAAACATATGTTTGAATCTGTTAACTCTTGTTGTTTCATACGTGATAGTGACATGTTTCAACGTATATCTTCACCATGTTTCATAAAATTTTTAAATGTTTCGGTTACTATTTTTTTTCATCATATATATAACTTAATATTTCACTCTTGTTGGTCAACTGTAACATTTGACCGTCCAATGGATATTTTTCTCCATATACTCCCTCTGTCCCAAAATATAAATACTTTTGGACCTCGGCTCGGTCTTCGATATGCTACTTTGACTAACAATATCTATAAAAGTAAGATATGTTTTAAATAAAGAGAGTTGTATATTGTGATAGTTCGTTTAATGATAAATACAGTAACATCAAATTTACATGATTAATCTTTTTAAAATTTTTGCTATTAATAGTCAAAATTTAGAAAGTTTGACTTATCACTGTTCTAAAAATGCTACTATTTTGGGAAAAGGGAGTAGTTTTCAGCAAGTAATCACAACAATGGCGAAGCAAAGTTTCCAGGCGTACACATAACGTTGAAAAAAATAGTGCCAACTCTCAAAAAAATTCCCTAACAAATCTTCCTCGTCACATCATTTCCCCTGAATTCATATTTCAAGAAACCGAATTCAAATCCCAATTCAAATCCGTTAAATATTCTGAAATAAAAAGTTTCCTAAGAAACATTTACAGAGACACAAAGTTGGTATGTACACACAGGGTGTGTTTAGTTCACGCTAAAATTGAAAGTTTGGTTGAAATTGGAACGATGTGATGAAAAAGTTAAAAATTTGTGTGTGTAGAAAAATTTTTATGTAACGGAAAAGTTGGAAGTTTGAAGAAAAGTTTGAAACTAAACTCGCCGGTACCAGTTTGGCCCTTTCCCACTAGTCCCCTTCCTGCCCAACCTCGGCCTCGGCTCACCCCGTGTACCTTCCCCTCGTCGTCACCGGCGGCACACCCGGCGGCCGGCGCCGGCCACCACCCCCACCTCCGCCGCCACAAGACCGGCCACCGGCTACATTCCTCGCCCCCATTCCACCACCGCTCTTCCCCTTCCTAGATTCCCCCATTCTGGTGGCGAATTAAGGAATGTTTTTTCCTGTTTCTTTTTTTTGTCTCTACGATTCCTCATTGACTGGTTACAACTTTGGGTCGCTGTCTGGTTATTACAAATGCATCTCTGAATTCCGATGATAACAATGTTTTTTCCCCCTCTTTTTTTTGGATTTTTATTCTACTGCTAGATTCGCTGTAGAGAATTACGGGGAGATTGTGAGCGCTAGCAAATGTCAGATCGCAAATCCAGATTCGTGTATTGCCGGATTGAGGACGAATCGGTTTTCTTGAATGCCACCATATGCACACGATTCCTTCTGTATGGACATCAAGGTATGTTGATCCCCTCTTGAGTATTTGTTCGTCTACTTTACATTTGTGTGGCATATTTAGTTGATCTCAGATGGAACCTAATAATTAAATGGAGGGTGTTCGTTGATTGTTTCTTCAACTTTAGCAATCATATAATGTTTCAAATCGTGGGAAATGTAGATAAGAATGAGAAGATTGCTAGAAGCAGAAAATGTCAGACCTTGATGGAGCCTGCAGATAGCAGTTGCAGAACTGCATAAGTAGTGTTACCCTGACGCTCATGTTGAATTTATATAGTACCATTTTTAGTACTTTTTTCCTACGGATGTAAGTTGGTAAGCCGCGAACCCACTTATAGGTCAAAATAAGCGGGTTCGTCGCTTATTTTGGCATATATGTGGGTTTTGCGGGTTAGCCACTTACACCCTTACTTTTTCCAACCATTTCGCACCTAGATAGATACATCATTCGATTTGCCCATGGGCACAAAACTTTTGTGACATGCATGATAAAAGAGTATGCAATCTACTCAAGAAAGAAGTACATGCATGTTATGAAAATGTAGATAAGAAAGAAGTGGTTTACTGTGCATGATACTTTGTAAATAAGATATATACTAAATCCTTGATTGGGATTATAATCTAATAAAAATGGTTGGCCACATTCATTGAGAAGTTGATGCACATATTTGAGAACAGTTTATAATTGAAAAACATGCGTAGCAGTCCTTTTCCCCCGCAAATCAGGTTGAATTTCAGATTATATATAAAGCAGTTCTTACTGACTTAGCGTGGCAGTCCAATAGATGAAATGAACTCTTGCTCCAAGCTATAGCATTTGTGGCTATTTCCAGACTCAGGATTAGCACTGACACCCAAGTTATTAGCCAATGACTCACAACTAACTTCAGACCTTGTATGTAGTAATGACTGCATCTCTTCATCATTTTCTGCTGCAGCATGGGATGACGTCAACCTTTTTGTTCGCAAGAACTGCAAAGTCATTTCAACTTGCTTCATCGTAGGCCTATCTTCACTTCGGAGCATCAAGCACATTTCCGCAAGAGAACTGACACTTTTTATCTCTTCCTCGGTAGCTTCCTCACAAACTTGAGCTGCAACTATCTCTTTGATTGGCCTTGCCTTCAGCTCCCAGAGGAAATAGTTGGACAAGTTCTGCTTTGATCCTGACACTGTTGTAAAAATAGGTTCTCTTCTGAGCAGTAGTTCCACAAGTACCACACCAAAACTATATACATCACTCTTCTCATTTAGTTGCCCTGTATGGTAATATTCTGGATCTAGGTAACCAAATGTGCCTTGAACATTAGTGACAATGTGAGTTTGGTCAATTGGAACCAATCTTGAAGCACCAAAGTCTGCTACTTTAGCAGTGTAGTTCGCATCTAGAAGTATATTGGAGGATTTGACATCACGATGGAAGACCGATACTGAAGCTGCGGAATGGAGGTAACAGAGAGCTCCTGCAGCTTCCACCGCAATTCTGAGACAATCATCCCATGACAAGGAAAATCGGTTGCTTGAACCAGAATGTAGAATATCAAATAATGAGCCGTTGGGAATGAAGTCATAGACCAATAGAGGGACCTCGGTTTCAAGACAACATCCAAATAGTTTTACTATATTTCGATGATTTATTTGGGAGAGAATAGCTACCTCATTAATAAATTGGCTGATCTCACCTTCCTTAATGTCCTTAGACCTTTTTATTGCAACCACGCGTTGATCTGATAAAATGCCTTTGTACACCATACCATGCCCTCCATGACCAAGGATATGTGTGGGGTCAAAGTTATTAGTTGCCTTTTCGAGCTCATCTAAAGAGAAAATCTTTGTTTTGTCACTTGCATTTTCATCTGAAGATATCAGTTGTTCTAGGAGAAGGCCTTGATTCTTTCTAAAATGTTTCCTTCGTAGTTGCTTTTGTATGTCATTTTTCCATCTACGAATGAAAACCATTGTACTTAAGCTGACAAGTAGGATGCCAAAGCCGCAGCTAAGCCCAATGACAATACCTGTAGTAAGTATGATCATTAGCTCAGGTTGACATTTTCTGTTCCGTCTCCCCCGCCGCCCGCCATGGGATTTTCGCATGCGGTCGCTTATACCGGCCGCATGCGAAAATAAATTCAGCAAACAAAAAAAAAATAAAATCCAAAACCCCCCAAAAAAATAAAAATCCAAAAAATCACAAACCCTAGCCCGCCGTCCACGTCGCACGTCGTCGCCGGCGGCGGACCTGTTGCCCCCCCCCCCCCCCCCCCGCCGCCGCCCGCCGTCGTCGCCCCCGCTGGATCCGTCGGTGGCAGCCAGGGTTGCATTTACCGCGGTAAACCGCGCGGTTACCGCGGTTACCGCGCTTACCGCGGGGGTACGGTAAGGGGTAAACCGCGGTAACCGCGTCAAATTCAAATAAATTTGAAAAATAATTTGAATTTTTGATAAATTTTATACGGTTTGTCGCGGTTTGTCACGGTTACCGCGGTTACCGTGCGGTAACCGTGCTTACCGCCGGGGCGCGGTAACCGCGGCCCCGGCGGTAAATGAAACCCTGGTGGCAGCACCGGATCCGTCGCCCCAGCCGCCGCCGTCGTCGCCGCCACCGCTTCCGTCTCCCCCGCCGCCCGCCATCGTCGTCCTCGCCAGATCCGTCTCCCCCGCCGCCTGCCGTCATCGCCCCCAGCGGATCCGTCGGCGGCGTCGCCGGATGCGTCGCCCAGCCACCCGGCGTCGTCGCCGGCGGCGGATCCGTCGGCCCCGCCACTCGCCGTCGGCGGCGGCACCGGATCCGTGCAGTGCGGCGGCGCCACCAAAGGCGGCCAAGCCGCCCCTGCCGCGACGGCGTTGAGGAAGAGGGAGGGTCGCCTCATCGTCGTCGGTGAGAAGGGGATGGCGGGCCGCCAAGCTGAGGCCGCCAAGCCGCAGCCTGCCGCCGCCGTAGCCGCGTCGCCCGCCACCCGCCGCTGTAGCCGCTCCCTATGGCGGCGGATCCGGCCCTCCCGAAGGCGGCGCCGCCGGATCCGCCAACCGCGCCGACGCCATTGACATCTGCCGCCTGGCAGCTCTGAGAGAGGGAGAGGGAGAGAAAGAGAGAGGGAGAGAGAGGAGAGAAAGAGAGAGGGGAGAGTAATAAATTAATAGAGGGAGAGAGAGAGAGGAGATGAGGTAGAAAAATTTTGAAGTGGTGGGAGGGAAAAAAGCGTGGAGGGAGATAAAAAAATTGGGGTGGTATTTTCGCATGCGGACCACTTAAGGAGCCGCATGCAAAAATAGTTATTAAAAATATTTTAAAAATTTCAGAACTTGGAATCAAAATTTTTAATACTAAATGAACTCAAATGAAAATGTTGCCAAAAACAAAGTTGTAGAACTCGTTGAGATCTACCAATTTTCTTTTGGTCATTTCTCCACCCGAGTTTGATTGAACTATATAAAATTTGAACTTTATAATATAAGAAATTCAAATAATTTTTTTACATAGTAAATGATTTCAAATAGAAAAGTTGTCAACAACAAAGTTGTATAACTTATCAAGATCTGCAACTTTTGTATTGGTCATTTTTCCATATGACTTTGTTTGAACAGTTTGAATTTGAATTTCAAAATATGACAACTTCAAACAACATTTTTAAATACAAAATGATTTCAACTGAAAAGGTCATCAATAACAAAGTTGTATAACTCATCAAGATCTATAACTTCTATTTTGGTCATTTCTTCATCCGATAAAGTGATTTGTAAGATTGTTCACAAAATGTACATCTCTTATATAGTTTTTATTTTGGTCATTTCTTCGTCCGATAAAGTAAATCACTTTATCGGATAAAGAAATGACTAAAATAAAAGTTATAGATCTTGATGAGTTATACAACTTTCTTATTGATGACTTTTTTAGATGAAATTATTTACTGCTTCAAAATATTATTTGAAGTTTTGAAATTCAAATTTTTAATTGATAAAACAAAGTCACAAGAAAAAATAGCCAATATAATACCAGTAAGAACACAATAACATGATAGAGCATGATTTTAGAAACATTTAGAAAAAAAATCATCCAATTTAGAGTTCATATGAGTGAGATACACTAGTTTCAAATTTTTTAATTTTTATTTTCGGTATACGGCTTCTTAAGTGGCCCGTATGGAAAAATCGATTTTTCCATGCGGTCGCTTAAGTGAGCCGCATGCAAAAATAAGCTCATTTTTGCCATCTTAAGAGACCCGTATGGGAAAATCGATTTTTCCATACGGGCCACTTAAGCAGCCGTATGGGAAAATGACCCTCGATTTTTGCAGATGCCACTACTTATGGTCTGCATGGAAAAATGATGGGGCCTCGTATAGAAAAATCACTTTTGTAGTAGTGAATAACAATAAGTAAAAATAATGTATAAGATAGCTGGACAACATAAGATTACGTAAGTTAACGTAATTTATGATAATTTAAATTTAAATAGTATATAGAACGATAATTTAAATATAAAAGTAAGGCGATATAATTTTATAAAGAAGAAATGTAGGGAGATAGTTCAGACCATATATTAATCATTTAAGCACTTGAAGTGATATGGCTTAACGAAAGAAGAGAGAAATTACATTAACTAATTAAGTTAGGATGAACTATATAGGTATATAGGATATTATAAAAAATAATAAAGATATATGTTGAAATATTGTGTGAACTATGTGGGATGATGATTTAACATGCTTGCATTAGCTCTAAAATTTAATAAATTATAAAATTATAGATAATATAACATGTTTGCATGATGTTTAAATGTAATGATTGTTAGTGGATGATGATATGGTATCTTTGTATGTTAAGATTTAGAATTAGTGAATTGTAAAGAGGATACTTGCATTTGTAGCGTGTTTCTAAGATAAGCGTCTATGCTTCACATAGATGTATAACTTTACTTGAGATAAAACAATCCCCAATTATGTAGTAATTCTACTTTTACAAATGGTCCAGTGGTTGGAATTCGTTGCTTCCGTATTATTCAAAGAGAACTTCAGTCGGTGCCGTTTTTTAGGCAAATCAACGAGGCAGTAGGTATCTCTACTTGATATTAGAGCATCATATCTTACGATAAAGTTATCCCCCACTAACTTCTTAAGTTTAACATATAAAGATACCACATCATCTTCCACTAATAAGATGCCACATCATTATCCACTAAAGTTATCCTCTACTAACTCCTTAAGCTTAACATGCAAAGATGCCACATCATCTTCCACTAATAAGATGCCACATCATCATCCACTAATTAACAAGATGCCACATCATCATCCACTAACAATCATCACATTTAAACATCATGCAAACATGCTATATTTTTATAGTTTTTATAATTTAAGAGTTTTTCAAATACAAACATGTTAAATTATCATCCAACATAATTAACATAATGTTTCAATGTATATTTTTATTATGTTTTATGATGTCCTATATACTTATATAGTTTATCCTCACTTAGTTAGTGCTTAAATGATTAATATATGGTCCAAATTATCTTTCTTTTTTTCCTCTAATTAAGTCATATCACATCAATTATTTTTAGCCTTTAGATGATTAATCTACGGCCCAAACTATCTCCCTACTTTTCTTCTTCCATAAAATCATACCACCTTACTTTTTACGTTTGAATCACCATTCTACATACTATTTAAATTTAAATTATCATAAACCACATTAATTTACTTAATCTGATGTTATCTAGCTATCTTACACGCTATTTTTTTTTGTTATCATACGAAATTCCCGCAGCAATGCACGGGGTTTCACCTAGTAAAATACAAATCAAGACACCGTATTTCAAAGAATTCATGCTATCCAATCATTACTAGCACTCCAAGAAAGAGGGAAAACGAGGTCACAAATAAACACTGAAACATTGACTGACTGATCGAGAAAGTAGACGATTGTGGGAAATCCCAGTTCTTTCGAAGAATGGTTAAGATAACATATGAGCAGCACATGATTGAATAGTGTGAATTCCTCGAAATGACCACACAACAGAACATTAATTTCGAATTTTTCCCTTGTCTGGACAAAAAATGCGGTTGTGGTACCCGAGGCCGGCATCTCCTTAACTTTTGCCAAAAGTAGCCAATTAGAACCAGCAATTGACGTACTCTTGGTCAGTCAATATATATAAATATATCGGAGGCATAGAATCCAACTCACTGCAGTTTGTCACTTCAATTTTCATCTCCTTTTTTGCTTTGTATCTCTGCTGATAATAAAACCAACCAAAACGGCCGACATCGTCAAATAGTTCACATGATCAAATACGAAGTACTGCAAGCTTGGCATAAGGGAGAACAGTCTGCTTAGACCAATTTAATCTAGGGTAATAAGTTCCCTTCGTTTTGCTTGGCCTTAATGCCTTCCTTTTTTTTTAAAAAAAAGTTGGGTTTTCCTAATACAAAATGCAGCTCTCCTGCCATCACTTGGAAACTAATAATAATAAACTCGCATGGAACGAAAATGCGTGATTTATATTTTCACCTTAACTTTCAAATTTCAATCACCGGCCTAAAAAATATTGTACCTTTTTTTTCTTTTCCTTCTCAGGCCTTTGTGCCCTCTTGTAGGGTTTTTGAAAGTACCCTTGAGTGAATACCAGCCGTTCATAAGATAGAATCGTACGGAAAAGATTAATTTCTACTAAGGGGTAACAAGTGGAATTTTTTTTGAGAATTAATATTATTTTAATGGAAAATCGCAAAAGTAGTAGCCAATCCGGGGAAATCGCGGATATAGGTGCCTGTCGAACGGGTGTAGTTTGATAGGTGACCTATCGAACGGCCAGCGCGCGACTAAAAAGGAGATCGAACCGCTGCAGTTCGACAGGACCTGTCGAATGCCACTAGTTCGATTGGTTGAGCAGTCGAATAGCCTTTGTTCGACTGGTCTTCTCGCCCATTTTTTTATTGTAATATTTTTTAATAATAAGTTAATTTTTAATAATAAGTTAATTTAGTGTGTAAGAAAGGAAAATATTATTGTAATGTTTTATGGTTTTAATAATAAGTTATATTATGGTTTTGATAATGTTTTGTGGGAAATTGTAGT